TTTGATTATTATTTACAGATTTTCGGTAGTGTCACACTAAATGTATCACTCTAGATAATCTTACTCATCTTTTCATTTTCTCATTTCTTTCAGGGTACATACATTTATTTTGATTATGAAAAGTGGGGTCAAAGAAAAAAGGAAGGATTCACGTTCGAGTATCGCTATCTAGAAGACAAAGACCTCCCATAGAAATGGAAAACGAACCCCTCTCCCCCATAGAACGCATTCGTTAAAGTACACCAATAGCCAGACGACACTCCTAGGGATAGCAAAAACACAGATGTTGGGTACCCCCGGTGGGGATCCAGTCATGGTTGTTTGCTCGAGTTGARACTGATGTGGTGGTACGTTTTATTGGACATGTAGGATAAGCCGGGTGTCATAGCCCTCCGTTTTACAAAGATCAACCTTGTTTATAATTGTAAATACGAATGCTAGCTCGAATTAATGCGTTCATTAAAAAAATCGATGCATAAAATGTTGTCGTGTGGAAATTGTCTTTCGAAAAGCCTGTCTGTCCTTTGCACGCAAGGAAGAAAACGTTCAGCTAATAGACCATATGAAAAAGGGCGTGGCTGTCGGAACGCCTGAGTTTATAAGTTGTATAATATATCACTACTACCCTTTGAAAGAACATATTATAATGAGTAAGATCTAAATGTTTTATTAAGGACCASGAATTGCAAATTGCAAAGGTTTGAGTGAAAAGTCCTCGTAGCTCTGCCGATATTTTACCTTTTGAAACTAAAAATTCGCTCATTCACTAGCTCAAATATACTCATTTCTTATCGTGAAAATAGAGCTCCAGTATTCCGCTCGTTTTTCATATGGTCAATTGATAAGGTACATGAAGTCATTTTAGCGTGCTGAACGTTATTATGCACATTTAGGCCACATTTGTGCCTGCTTTTTGAAATAAAGAAATTAATTTAGAAATTGTCACCACCATCGAAAAACTCAGTCTAGATTTACAAGTTTTAGGAATCTCGTTTCTGTTGTGACACATCTCAAACAACTTGAACTTGAAGCGGACAAGGGACCATCATGGCCCATCATATTCAAGAGGCAGAATATCGACTGTTATTTCTTTTTGCAAAAACATCGGTTAGCACCATGCACAGACAATATTTTGCGTAGTCCCCACTCCTTGCATTGCAACCCTGCAATCGCTGGTCATACATGATTTACAGACGCGTAGACAGGACTCGAAGCCTTTCCGGGTACGCATGGATGCTGCTTTATTCAAAAGCTGTCGGTTCCAAGTTCAGTAGAATGCAAGACAATTTGCATTGCTAATTTGATTCCCTGGGAATGACGTAAATAAAATAATATATATATAACTGA